AATCTTATACTCTACGAAAGTCAAATTTTCGTACTCATTATTTATTTTGCAAATACAGGGATAGACGAATTCTAATTCGGCTTACTTGCCAAGTTACACATTACGCAGTATTTTCTAACTTCAGAACTGCATCTCAGTGCTCGGACTTTTCTTAGTTCAATGTAATGTTACGTCCGTATTATAAAATGACAAGCCCTTACACTAAACATACAATGCCCTGGATGACAGTACCCGCTTAGATATGTCACTCAATCAGGGTTGCCAAATTCGGACAACGAAATAGACAAACTTGTATTTTATCATTGCTAATGCATTAGTATTTGTCTCTCATCATCTCGGATTGAGACTTTGAATGAAGAGAGTGAAAATGATTATATGATTATATGATTAATATATATTATATATATATATATATATATATATGTATATATATATCTGTATATATATTATTAGTCTGCAATCTAAAGACCATAAAATGGTTTGACCACCGAACTGACTTTTGATCGCAAACGCACAGAAGAACACTTAAACCAATTTACTAAATAACTTTAGATTAATTTAATTACCTAATAATTTTAAATATAACAATAGACAAGTAAGTTAAAAATCGGTTTGCCGGATCTACTTTGAGTCGTAATTCGAAAAGATAGTTGAGTTAAACTCAGATCTCTTCTTGTCAGTATCACTTAATTAACTTAAAATCTCGTTATTAGTTTACGCAATATATGTTTTATCTAAATCGAAAAGGCTAACGTATAGAATCGCTTAACTAACTCACAATTTAAAAGATTGCTTGGGTAAGTAAGAATCTTGCTTGCGAAATATCATTTAACTAACTTTTCAATGCAAATGGAAATCATTTAATTGAGTTAGATTTAACATTTTACCTAAAGATCACTTAAATAACTTTTTATTTATTAAAATTAACGATTTCACAGGCTTCTTCAATGTGTATCTCCTTAGTTCTGAAGTATAACATTCATTGAATGAAGACGGAAAGAGTGGTCAAGCAAAACATTGATATAAATGCAAATGAAAGTTGAGGAAAGAAGCATTAGTTTAAGGTAAATTTAGGCAACATATAAATGTACACATTTATATAAAATATTTAGATGTTCACATATGTACGTATATATGTACGTATATAATATTCATTCGAGCAAACATCAATGCCAAAGCGTCAACAATATTTTGCTAAATATTGTCGGCCAAACATATGTGTGGTTTGTGCTGTATAATCACACACTTCACTGCAATAGTGGAAAATATAGGGATAACATGGCTCTCTACGGCACTGCCATCATCACCATCGCAAGCACAATCACCACCACCATCACCGCCAGCACTACCATCACTATTATTATCATCGTCAGCATTAATAGTCGAAGAAACTTTCATTTGTGGTAGAAATATGCATATACACATATTATATACTTATTTATACATGCATATGCGATTGTAACGGGAACGGTAACTGTGTCTATGACTGTGACTGAGGCTTGTTTGTAATTCAATTATGTTAATGATTGGACAACATTTAACGTATTTACATTAAATACATAATGGATAAGCTCAGCTCGATTCGCTATGGTTAGTGGCATATATACATATACACATAATGAACCTGCCACCAAAGCACAACATACATATACATACATAGGCAGTGAAACGTCGAATACAGTGTTGTGAATGCTTGTCTACTCATTCATGCTGATCTCTATTGAGATAGCGAACGCTTTACCTTAAAACAGCACAAATATATTATAACCAACGCCAATGCCACAACTAAAGCATGGCTGCCTGTTACTACTATCGCTAGGCTAGATTGCCGGGGTGCTACGCTGTGCTTCTCTCTATGCACGGCGTAAATAAAAGCATATATAAATTACTCTTGTTGTTACTGTAGCTTGGCATTGATTAAAATTTAATTGAAAATAAAATTTTTACTTATGCCCGTGTGTATAACATGAATAACCATTCATTATGTTGCATTTTATGATGACGACGACGACGACGACGACGACGACGACGATAATATATTGACCGGCAATTAAAAAAAGAAGACAAAAAATTACAAAAAAAAAAAAAAAAAAAAAAAAAAACGAAGCATTCGCTCTCAAAAGTCTTTTTCACTTTGGCGAGCAGAGTATGTGTGTGCGTATAAATTCCTATTGGTTTAAATTAAGTGGTCAATGAACTGTTCTCGCATAACTTGTAAAAACCGTACAAATGCCACAGACCCAACTATACACATACACATATGTAAATATATATGCATATATATATATATATATATATGCATATAAGCGTACACGTTATAAACGCGTCTGTGATTAACCAGAAAATTTAATACAAAAAAAAAAAAAAAAAAAGGCAAAAAACAATGACACGAGAAATTAAAGACAACTAACACAAACGGAAAACATTTTAGAGGAACAACAATAGAAGTGAAATAAAAAAAAAAAAACTAAAAGCTTTTTGCAAAATTTTCCAAATTTCTCCATATTCGTATCAGCGTCATCATCGGTTGCCAAATGAATGGAACGGCAGTATCGGTGATAACAGCAGGAGGTGAAAGGAGCTAAATGTTGTTTAATGTATTGGTTGAATGATTGATGTACATAAGCTGGCTTTGCTTGTTGGTGTTAGCAGCCTTGTTTCCATTGCTGCCATTGTCATTGTTGTTACTATTGTTTTTGTTGTCGTCATTGTCATTGTCATGTTATCTTTAGTAATGTGTGTTCTTCAGTTTCTATACATATGTATATATATATATATATATATCAATTTATTTATACATATATAGGGTGTGCATGTGTGTTCGTATCAGAGATAAATAGAGTATGTGTGTAAGTGCATATGCATAGTTCTATGTATGTACAGTCATTCAATAAATTGGAAAATTTTGTTTTGTGTTATTACACTTAAACGCTTGATTACATTTTATTTAAAAAGCTTTACTCATGTAATGGCTGATAATATGTCTGCCTATTTAAAAAAAAAAAAAAAAAAAAAAAAAAAAAAAAAAAATTAAATAAAACATACTAACACATTCATATATTCACACATTCCTCTTAAAACTTTTATTATAACTAATACCCCACACTCACACAAACACACACACACACTGGAATCATCAGATAAAATCCGCGCGTAAACATTTTAGTTGAGATTACATTTGCGTAAAGTGATTTCTATTTTTTTTTTATTTATTATTTTTTTCTTTTTTAGAAGATTTACACAAAAAAAAAAAGTCTTTAACAAGTCCTTCAAAATATATTTAAATTGGTTTAAAAAGAATAAATTTTGTTATATATAGAAATGAATAAATGGTTAAAAAATATTCTTCAATGCAATGAATAAGCTTCTCAAGAAGCAGCTACAGTTCAATATCGTTTAATAATGAATATCTATAGTTAGATTAGATAGAAGTTCCCACAAAAAATATAACGATTAAGTAATGAAAACCCTGATCAAGGTTCCCTTTAGTTAGAGTGAAAGGGATTTTATAGAAAATTTCAGTTCACCTCTGCGCCCGACTTATGAATAAATTACAAATTAGGTTCCGTAGGCTGAAAAAAGCCAGCAAACTCGGATCTGTAGGAAAGATGATTTTCCCAAGGACTCAAACAATCCCATATTTGGCTACTATTAAGCAATGGCAAAGGTTTAAAGGGACGTAAAGTGAGTATGCATAAAGAAAATCGATGTTGGATGGAAGAGTTTTGGTTTTGATTGCAAAAACTTGATTGAATTTTAATTGAGAAGTAACCAAACTTGTTCGCTCTCGATAAGAGGTTATATAAAAAAAGTAAGAATCATGTTAACCACTTTTCAAGACGATACTACTTGAAAAAAACATAGTTCCCAATAATCAATTGGAAGCAAAACAATGCCATCCAGGAAGATAAACTGGACGCTAAATGGAATGAAGAATAACTGCCTCCATTAAGCTGTGATCGCTTATGCTTTTGCATCTTTAACCAGTTAACTATATATATAGATCATTTTTCAAACGTCCTTCACGCAGTGCCTAATTAAAGTCGGACCCAACACAAATAGCCACATAAAAAAATTAGCATTCCCCAGTTAGAGTATCAATAGGGTAATGCTTTACTGCTTCCGTTTTTTGAGCAGACGGGTTTGCATATCCGAAATTGATTTGTTTTCGATAGTATAGCTAACGTAAAGTTGGGGAAATTTTCCTTAAAAACGCCTGCAAGTTTTGGAGGTGTACTTGGTCGATCACCGTTGTCAGTTTGTCCTTCCCGATGTTTATATTCTTCAACAATACAAAATACATGGTACGAACTAAAAATTTAATCATTTAAGTTTTCCTGTAAAAGTGCATGCACATAAGGTCTACAAGGTGAAGATATCATTTCATCATTTGTTGAAGAGAGAAGATCACGGGAATCCCGATGCATGGGGGAAAATAATAAATTTAATGGTGGGCGGCGGCCGATTATAACGTTTCTTCAATGTTTTAGTTCGTCACTTCACTGTTTTAGTTCGTGATGGGGTGCCTTGAAATTTTTGACAAACGCCGGATATGAATGAATATTGATAGCATCTTTTCCTCTAGTATTCAAGTTGTTCTCTCTATCTCACATATCTCAATTACTGCTTGTGCACTAACGCATTGCAGCCAAATAGGATGTTTACTTGACTTACTTTATGGAAGAGAATGTAATGGTAATGAATACGAGATAAGGAAAAGTAATAACATTTAATATATAAGCGCAGGCTTCAAAGAAAAAATACAATTCACCTTAAGCGAAACTGAAATTTTCTTTCATGAATTAGAGTTTGATCTTTTCCTTTAAAGATCCTCAATCACATATTCGCAAGCTAGTCGCAAAAGCTTTTATACGATTTCCAAACATGAATGAGTAAATATTTTTTAAAGATTCACTATTTATAGGAAAAAGAAAAAAAAAAAACAAATACATTTTGTTAAATTAAATTTTTAATAAGATTTTCTCTTAACTCTTTTACAGATGAACCGTGCTTTACAGCTTAAGCCGGCTGAAAGCGAAAGTCGTGGCGGTAAGTGTGACAACAAATTCATTCAGATACGAGAATTGTGTTTTGATTGTTTTCTATCGTTTTCTGTTTTCTATTGTATTAAAAATTTATAGAAAAAGTAAAAAAGAAGCACATACGTTCGGTTTTAGTAGGAAAAGGCATTAAAAAATTAATGTTTTACAACAGTTAATCAATCGTAAACACTTTCATTCTTATTGCGAAAAAAATATTCCATGAAATATAAAGTAAGAAAATGTGTGCGATAAGAATACAATATATATCTCAAGCGATAAAAAATTATTATTATCATCTATCTTTTCATATTAAAATTGTTCTCATATTCACTGCATTTAAAATTTAAGTTTTAGTTTTAATATAACTGTTTTAACAATACGTAGATGATTTACAGTTGTCTTTTTTCTGTGCAAAAAAAAAATCCACACAAAAACAAAATATTAAAAACCAAAATAATTGAATCTCACAATTTTGTTAAAAGAAAATTTTACGATATCTCTATTCCATTCGTAAACCAAGGCTTATATGTGCAGCTAAGAAGAATGAGAATTAATCGTGAAAACACTTCCTTTTTTTTTTGCAATAATTTCCTGCTGATGTACAATAGCTATCTATAGGTATCTTTCTGTTATGCTTTCTCTATTACTCTATTTGAAGAAATTGTCGTCCGTTTAATTTTATTCGAAATTTCAGTTTCTTTTAATGCGGCGTCACTGTTCGTATCAGACTCCCTCCCTGGTCTTATATGTTTTTGCTTATGATTTCATTGATGTAAATACCATAATCAGATATTCTTCATGTTTTGATCGAGACACAATGTAAAATGTTAAATTAATTCTATTCTATTCGAGCGACATAATACCTTCAAACTCTACATACCGATGAGTAAAGAATTGGCGAAAACTTCTCATGTCAGCCTTAGTCCAAGACAAACACTCTGATCAATGTTCAGCGCTTAACACTTGAATAACATAATAATTTTCGAATAACATATTTTTAAGAAATTCAATAAATAGCCCGCTCGTTGGCGAAAGCGATCTTGTTCCATTATGTGATACGATGCGTACACGCTTCTACGGCGATTCCAAATTATTCACATTTTGATTGTCACAGGTCTGTCACATTAAAGATCCCTGTTGAGTAACTAGTTGTATGTTTTATGCGAATTCTTTCTATTTCTCAGTTTTATTTGTACTCTTAAACTAAAACTATTCACAATAAGTGACACACTTTCGATCCGATATATACTCTCTCTATCTTTTACTCGTTCTTGCTATGGCCCCGCTTTCGAAAATGATAAAAAGTTCAAATAGGGAACTTCGTCATAAGTTTGCGGGAAACTTTAAAGAATGGAAATTTTTCTCTTACACTGGAAATCTGAACAATAACTTTGGAGGAAAATGTACTTCTTTAATATCGTTATCCGAAAGTATTATTATTAGTAGTAGTAGTGGTAGTAGCAGTAGTAGTAGTAATCTATGGTCTCATAATTTGCTTGACGCTCATAATCCGCCACAAAGCAAATGCACACATCTTCTATTATACATATACGTTACCATCGCGTTGATAACGTATATTATCATATAATCGTATACTATTCATATAGTTCTCATATAATCCTATTAGACGGGGTGTAGTGAAAACGCCCTCTAAGAGGAATATTATTTTCTTATTTGTTTATTTTACATTTTCTCGAAAATTGAAACTTAGAATTTTGCAGATTTCGTTCTCGATCCCTTATTTCAATTTATGTTGTTGTACGTGTGCGTTTACGTGTACTTGTACATGTACGTGTACATGTGCGTGTGCGTGTGCGTGTGCGCGTTTAAAAGATTTTAGTTTTAAAAGATTTCTCCTTTTCTTTTATCCGAAGACGAAGCAAAAGAAAAATAAAAAAAAGAAGGAACGTATGCAATCTCTTTGAATAGATTTCGTAGCAAGTCTTAGCTTTGTACCAAATTGCTAAGCTTACGCAATTTGCAGAAACTTGTTCAAGATGCAACAAAAACAAAAGCACAATAATAATAAAAGATAAAATAAAATCTGTAAAATTGAGAAGTAGCTGCAAGTCAACCTTAAATGCAAAAATTACACACATCCACACACCTACTCCTTTTGCTTTCTAGTTCTCATCATGAAGTTGGCAGTGTGGTGAGAAAGTCAAAGTTAAGTCCTTAACATAGGCACTTATATGCAAACAAACGCAATTATTGTGACAAGTTTAATTGCTTGAGGTTTAAGCGGTTAGGCTCTTTCAAAGGATTTGATTATCATCATTTAAACAAAAAACAAGAGAAATAAATAAATAAATAAAAACGAAAAGAAAGAATTCAAGTAACTTCCCTCTCTCCCTTTCGCTGCCCCCATCATTTAAAATTGAACTCTATTTCTTTCTTTCTCTTTTTTTTTTTTTTGTCTGTTAAAGCTAAGGATTTCAAGCCTATTGGAGTAAAATATTATAAGCCTTTGGTTTTACACGCATTAATGACATCTCGGTCTTTCATGTCAGCGATATTTCTTGATCTTTCTCGTTTTTCGTAAGAATTTTAATAAAAACAAAGCAAGAGTTCATTAATTTCAACTAAAACTCTACACATTTTTCTACTTAATGTATAATGATATATATATATATATACATATATATATATAGATATATTTATTAATTTATATATAGATATTTGTAAACATGTTATATTGTAGCATTCTATCTGACCTTTTCCTTATGTCACTTTCCCCCATATACGTATATATAGACGGTTTACCTACTACATATATATGTTATTTTCTTTATTCACGCAAGACTTGATGCCGGTGTTACATTTTTATTACTTATCTTTGTCTGTGTATTCTCGTAGAACGCATCATGATGATGGTGTTTCTTTACCTTAAATACGTTCTTTGCTTATATGTAGATTCATTCACTCATTATATGATTTTCGCCCGCACATCCCTTGTCTTATATAAACGAATGCTGCATGGGGTCCTACGTTTTTCTTATAAATAAAAAGTAATTTGTTCTTGTCTCTGGTTTGACGTTTTTGTGAATTTGATGTCACGCTTAGATTTTATATATTATTCTCATTCATATAAACATATCCCAAATTTTAGATAGTATATATATATATATATATATATATATTTATATATAAAGTGTATATATATATAAAATATATATATATCACATTACATCGCTCTGGTAACTGCTAACAACTTTATATCCATTTATATTGAGTCTATGCACACAATCTGTACACATTATTCTAATGGAAACAAAAGTGTCCGTAAACGTCTTGAAACCGTTTATTATTGAATGTTAGGATTACCGTCCGATTTAAACATGAGCGTAGAAATACGTTTCAGAGGATGCCTAAAGAATACGTATTCCTCATTAGTTCAGCTAAATATCCGTCCGTCTGCCTTTGTGATTATATATAATCACAATTATTTTTTTAAAAATTTAATTCCGAACATAATAATAGTGGTCTAAAATTTTTGTTCTTAATCTTGTCTTGACTTTTATGCATTTCGATTTAAAAAACCATATGATCCGTTCCATGGACCGCTACACAGACAAAGGTTATATATTAAGAGCTCAGATGTACATATCGCACGGTTTCAAATATCGTATAGTATTGGATGTAGATATCGTACGTAAGAGATAATCTCTTAAATGTTATCAGGGGCCCGTTTATAAATACCGAAAGGATCATTCTAAAAATAATATTTCGGAGAGATTAGTTTTTGGTTTAACACAAATTAGTGTCAGAGGTCTTTCAAAATCGGATTCGCATAATGTTTAATTTTGTTATTTTAAAATTTTTTTTTGGTTTTTTAATAATTTTCAAAAGTTTTTTCTTTTTTTAATGTAAGAAACTATTTTTTTCAATCGAATATAACGAAGATATCTTATGCTACCTGTATATAGGCATTTATCCTCTTAGATAACCAAAATAACATATTAACTACAAGCTTCATATTGAAGAGTTTGGTTGATAGGTATGAAAAGCTTTTCATTATTTCTCTCTGTACCAGCCATACGAGCGCATTTTTTAACGCAATAGATGAAAATGATATTAAGTAACGGAAAACGACTAAAAAACATATTTCAAACTCATTACATATGAAAATAAAAGCACATTCATCCACCTTCAAAGGATTATATATACTTTGTTGCTTATTATATATATTTAATTGGAAGAGTTTGAAGAGGAAAAGAGTTTTTTCTTATGCTATCTATTTATTTCGTCCAACTAACTTTATCAATAAGTCATGCGTTGATGAAGAAAGAAAAGAAGCAATCGCAGAAAATGGGCGACAAGTCCTAAGCCTTTTCCGAAAAAAAGTTCTAGAATCAATGGACATCATAAAGAGCAAAATACCTTTGAACGTATTTTAAGCCTCTAGACTCTTTTCTTATATATAAGAAAATCGAACATAAGTTAGGCAAAGTAAAAGTTGTTCAGCTTTGATTTGGACTGATTTTGGATTAACTAGAAAACGTGAATTCATATCACCGCCAGACTTTGATTGATTAAAATGACTTTAAAAGAAGAACAACATAATCCTTTAGGAAAGTGGAAGATAAAATAAAAAATGCACTCAACTTCTTGGAATGATCGGAAATGTAGGCACAATTTTTTACTATCTATAAGTCAGAGAATCGGAACGAAACGAGAAATATCCCACTAAAAACCATATTGCGTTCATCATATTCTCTATGAGATGAAATCCCATCAATTTGTCAACAATGCATCAAAAAGCATCTACTGATCCTGTTGGATGCGATATTAATTGCTAGCTGGATGCAGCACATGGGTCAATAATTCCTGGGATGGATTTCTGCAAAGACTTCAGTACTTGATCTCACTCTTTTCACGCGTAACAACCTTTTGAGTTAACAATCACCAATAACTGGATCTGGAGGACACGATAGTTTGGTCAGAAATTCGAGCTTCAGGTCATGCAATTTTAGCATTTTACTCACCGGTTTGCAACACGACAACATA